CTTGAAGTGCTATCTGGGGTCTATGCCGGTAGAATTTAATGTTTTTTTCTTGACGCCCTTGGTGAAGGTTTCAGACCTCCACATCTCACCAAAGGATGGAACCGCCCTTGTGAAGGCGAACACATCTTCCAAAACCTCCACAGAAGAATCCAGTTGAGAGGTCTACTGCGCAGCGTGTTTGCGTCGGGACCATGGGACCTCTGTTGTCGAACTTCACGTGTAAGGTCGATTGGTTGGTCAGACCCGTCTGAAAACCACTGAAAGACCTTTGGTGTGACGACCACGTTGCACTCAAAGCCACTGGATGAAGGTGCAGGCAGGTGGGTGTGATTTTTGTTCACATCGGCAAAAAAAATCAGTGGCCCCTTGTCCACAGCAAGAGCAACGAACCTCGAGGCTCGGCACGTCCCTTTGTTTGAGGTTTCAGCCCAGAGCTCAACCAAATGTTGGCCGGCACAAACTTTGGTTGAAGGACAAGCTCATTGGATCCAGTGCCTTCAGGGTGTCCACCCGAACGCACCTTCTCGGTTCTTCCGACCTGTCGGTTCGATGGTTCGGACATGTCGGTTTTCTCGGAGATCGATCAGAGGAAGTGGCTGATGTAAAGGATCCGATGTAAAGGATCTCAAGCAACGCAGATTGAAACAAGGATGTATTTCTGGTTGGAGCTGGGTTTCCAGCTTGATGTTTTCAGTTTGGTTGCCTGGTTTCACCCCAAGCTTGGTTGATGTTTCCATGTCTGCATCTTCAGTGGCCGCCACTGAACCAGGCCTTTCAGCGGTCTTCGCATCGGCAATCCGCACCATGGCAGAGAAATGGATCTGGTCACGTAGAGAGACCGTCTACATGTTGTGTTGCCTGAAACACATCGGCCCATGTTGCCTGGAGATCCCGAACAGCGGATGGTGAATGGACACCCTGAAAGACCCCCTGTTCGGGGCTATTCAGTGACACCCTTTGCGTGGTGCTGGCACATGTTTTCTAATTCCTTTATAAAAAGGTTTGGGAGCCACAGAGCAGATCCTGCCCCTCTCAGCTCTTCTTCTTTCCGTGTTTCCTCGCCGCTCGCGTTTCTCGCGCTGCTGGGAGTTTCAATATCCAGCGCAAGTGGATGAAAAAGGCCAAATGGGGGGGGGAACTGGTCCAAACTCCTTTGTCCAGTTGTCCAACTCGTCGATGAGCGAGCCCATGGGAGCTCCCCATGGGAGTTGGCCTTTGATCGGCGCTCTCACGGCGAGTTCGTCACGGCGAGTTCGGGAAGTCTGACGTCATCAGGCCATGGGACGAAAAGCAGCGAGCCATGTGTGCCATCCACTCCCACACAGATCCCAGGTGCTCGCATAGAGATGGACCCGGCGGGACCTCACCTCTTGATCTTCCCCTTCTTTTTCGGACCTCCGAACGGCGAACGGGGCTTGCAGCACGTGGCCTCGGTCGTCCGTTTCGGAAGGTGAGTAGCCCTAAGAATCCGGGCCTGACCTTTTGGGGTCCTGACCCTCCGATGCATGTGTATTTGAGGGCCCAGATTCTTAGGGTTGGATTGAACAGAAGGTTCTGACGCAGGACCCCAGGACCCTCCGACAGGTCACCCATTGAATCCTGTAGACCTGGCATTTCCCAACCCTCAAAGACCTGTAGAGTCAGGTGCTCGAAGTCCAACATACAAAACCCAAACAACCACCAGAAACAGTTCCTATGGCGCCACCTTGGTCTAACCTTTTCCAGACGCTGGAGGTCGTACGCTCTCATCCTCTGGAGGGGTTCCGGACTCCCGGGAGGGACCAAGGCCCAGCCAGAACGGAGCGTCTGAGCTCGAGTCACCTTCGTGTTCGCAGCTGCCATCGTCGGGCTTCGAACCCCAACGCCGCTCGGGTTTCCCAGCCGCGTTGAGGACGTGGTGCTCCTGCGCGTGCCCGACGACAGCGAACGCTCGGCGGCGACGTCGCAGCACGGCGGAGAAGGGGGAGCGAAGAAGTCTGGAGCCTTCCAAACGACAAAGGAAGGTCTATGTTGAAATCGAAACACATCTATAAAACTTAAGCTTAGATGATTGTTGGTTGGCTGGTTGGTTGGTTTGTTTGAATGGTTGTAATGTGTGTGTAGGCGTAGAAAAGATGCCTCCAGTGCCTTGTGTTCCAGTGCCTGGCTCTCCCCCAAAGACTTCTGCTGGCTCTCCCAAGCCAAGGAGTTCTTTCATCAGGAGCCATGGTTTCTTTTTTTCATGTTTGCATGGACGGAAACCCAGTCTCAACCAGAAAGTGTTCTGGATGGAGCTCCCCAGTTCTGGATGGATTTCAAGCAGGTGCCAGAGGAAGGAACAACCATTCCCTGCCAGCACCACGGATTCCGGTCGTCCATGAATAGCCCCGCAGGGGGTCCTGGCAGAGTTTGACCTTGTCTTGGTCTGGAGTGGATCAGACCCAAACACATTTTTTCTCGATGGGGTTTTCAGGACCCGGAGTCAAGCTGTAGGGATTTGTTTCTGGTTGTTTGGGGTTCCAGATTGCATGGATCATCTTCGGAATCTGCGACGGACCACGGCGGCCTAATAAAAGCCTAGCTTTGTCCAAAGGTCTTTCCCCGAATCGGCAGGAACTCGAAACACTTCTTCACTCTCTAATCGTGCGATCCTTTTTGGAGGGAAGGAGTTCCAAGGCGCCACGTGCAACAATTCTGCAAACAAACGGCCCTGAAAAACACCGACACTAAAACAAGTCTGTTTTGGTGCTTCGCAAAGAGCGAACTGACACCTGACCACTTGAACGACCGTGTTGGCGGTTTCGCGGATCCTTGCAACCCTTGGCCGGGTGATCACACGTCCATCTCGCGAGCCGTCAAAACATGCGACCCGGTGTTTAGACACCACGTCCAGCGCCTCCTGGTGTTTTCTATTTTCCCGCTCGTGGTCCTCTCTTGACCTCGCAAGCGCGGTGCCCGTTGCGTTTGGCGCTCGCTCCAGCGCGTCGGAGTATGGCGCGCGGTTTCGGACGTGGCGGGACGACCGGAATCGACTCCGTGACCGAGGTCCGAGGTCTGGGGGGGGTCGACCGAGGTTAGAAGACCTGAATCGCTCCGTGACCTCTCTGGCGTTGCTCAACATGCGGTACCTCCAGGTGCGCCGCGCCCGCTGCGCCTTGAAACTCACGGAGTCGGCGGTGAAGGGAACGAGCCCCACATGTTTTCAGTGCCGAAGACCCACGGCAGAGCCAGCCTAGGCGGTTAGCCTCCAACCAGGCGCGGCACTCCGCTCCTTCCAACCGCGCGGCTCCGGGGAGCCGCGCGGCTCCCCGACCTCTAGTTCAGGAGCAAAACGCCATCTTCTCCGTGGCCGTGACGACCACGGCCATCATCCTAATTTTAGCGCCTTGGGTTGCTTTTAGGGCTTCAACAGCACGTCTTTTCAGAAGGGGAGACCTCCTGGGATCCCAGAAAGGCTCAACTTGAAGGGTGCAAAAATGGGCTCCAGCCAAAGGACAAACATGTTGCATAGTTGGAAGATCTAGCCAACACTCTTAGTGACCGTCAAAGCACGGACGTCCAGTCTCTCTCGGCCGCTGGGCGGCGTGGCAGACGAGAGCCGACCGATCGGTCTGGGCTTTTTCAGATGCTTGGAGTCATGTGCCCAGACCCGTTCGTTCCTCATCCTGACCGGTCCCGGAAAAAACCACGCAAGACCAGAGGGTTTTCAGGGAAACGTCCAGGAGTCCAGGATTCGGGTTCGTTTTCCCCCTCCTTTTTTCAGGGAAAGGTCCAGACTTCTCCGATCTCGAGACTGCATGAGCCCTCAAGTGCTGGAAACGCCACTCCTCCGAGGTGGGCATCTATGTCTTCACCCGCGAGATCAGCGTGCTCTCCTCGTCGCTTGGGTCGAAGTGCTGGGCTCGGAAGGTGAGCGGTTTCTGCGAAGCTGCTCTAAGACTAAGACCTGAGAGTCTCTGCAGTGAAGTGAAGGAATTCCCAATTCTGCAGTGATCAGATGATTGCACATGGTCCGCGTCGCAATGGGCATTGTCTGGACCCTTTGTGCAAGGACCTCATTCTACCGGAGTGGGTCACACAAAAACACCCGGGAAGGAGGTGTTGAGGACCCGGTTTGACTTTTAGTCAGCCTGGACTTGTAGGCACTGGATTTGGGAGACCACCCGATCTCAGGGGTCTCTTGCGACCGCTACGGCTGCTGGCGGATGACATGCAGTGCCTTGGCCAGTTCCCGTGGCCGGTTCCCGTGGTCCGTTCGGGCCGCGTCCGTTTTCGGGCCTCTCGAGCAGCTCGAGCTCGTCCGTTCGCCCCGAGGAAAACCGGTCGGAGGCACTGCGTTCGTGGCGTCAGAGGGCTTTCGATCCGACCGCGCCCGGACATGGAGTGAGTGCAACGACGAAAGGAGGAAAGACCGCCAGGACGCTGGAAGAGACGAAGGATGTTCCAAGCTCCAAAGACGAAGTTTCTTTTTTGGGAGTTCCTATAGGCTTCCAGACAGGGTACCCCGACAGGAGGGTCCTGGTTAGGAAGAGTTGTTCGAAAGAAGGGGCTACACCGTCTACACCTATCCTGATGTCTCTCCGATCTCAAACCCGCACAGAAACCTGGGTCCTGGCCGAAGTGAGTTGATTCAAGTGGCGGCGGTTGGGCCGCGCCCTCCGTCGCGGCCGGGGAAAACCGCGCATGTCGGGAGGTGGAACTCCATGACAGTGGTTTTTTTAACGGAATTTAGTGGATTGAGAGGGGATATGGCCAAGCGAACAACCAATACCTACAGATCCTACAGGACCTTCCAAGAACATGCAACATTTCTGCCAACCTTGGCCGGTTTTTTGGGATGACATTGCCAAATCGACCCCTCTATTAATCCCAAAAGGACGTCACTGGCAACTGGTCGTTCTGATTCTTCTCTCAGGCCGGGACCAGGCCTGACAGCGGATAGCAGTTCTTCCCGGGAGACCACAGAAGGGATCACTCGTTTCAGCTGGGATGTGATCAGCTTGAGGGGAGCATGCGATAGGTGCCAGACTAGATGTTTGATGCGGATGCGGATGCTGGTTCAGCGAGCCAAGCTGCTCACCCAGAACTCGTGGTCTGAGAATACTCCTCAGGCCGTCGTTGCAACACGAAACCTCTTCCTGTTCGAACGTCTCTGGAACCTAGGAGTGTCACCCAGATGCAACTGGCTGGGCTTCAAAGCAACAAAGCCGTCATGGAGTTTGATCGGAATGTGGCGGAGGCGCGATGGGTTGGAGGCCATCGCTAGAGTAGGGTGGAGGCCATCGGTTCTAGGTTGGAGGCCATCGCTATTAGGTTCCTTTTCCTAGGTTGTCAGGCGCGAACTCCAGCCGTGCGTGAACATACACCCTACTTTTTTGGCCAGCTTTGTACCCAAAGACAAGCTATAGAAGCCCGCCCTGGGCAAGATCACATTTCCACGGATGCTTGGGAGCTGCTTCTGGAGCCTCTTCCATGCTCACCTCCCATTCATCGTTCACACGCGCATGTGGCACCAGAACCCAAACGCATCGCGTTCCGAAACTCTCGGGATCGCCCGGCCCCTCCCCTTCGCCCCGACGTGCCCCGCCCATCCCGGCCGACCGGGTCGCACGGCCTCACCTCGCACGGCGACGGACAGATTCGACTCATCGAGGGGATCTTTGAGAAAACGTCGCTCGATGCGAAACAGCCGCGGACGGGGAAGGCACCGGAGAGTGAGTGGGTGGGACGGGCGGGGAGAGTGAGCCGGGGAGCTGGGGAGTGGGGAGTTTGGGGTTGGTGTTGGGGAGGGCCGGAGAAGAGACCCTCGAATCAAAGTGAAAAACAGAGCCTAGAGGGCAGCGGCAGGAGGGCTTCCTTCACATGACTAGGTGGTGGCAGTGGTATTGATTGGGCACGAAGACACAGGGTCAGGCAGGGTCCAAAAGTCATGTCTTCCGACCGTTGCAGGGAATGTGTCCATCCAAGTGTACGGGTTTTTGACCCCTTTGATTCCGATACTTCTCTAAAAATCAGCCAAGTCGCCGCGAGTCGAAAAACATGTCAATTTCTGAAAGCGTCCATCCGTCCAGTGACCTTCTTGGAGTTCCTTCCAGTGACCCTTTCGAGGCCAGTTCGTGACTTCAAACGAGGGGATCAAGTTCAAGTTGTTGTTTGGTCCGACCAGGTCTAACCCATCTCCTCTCCCTTTCGGCCTCTAACGCCTCGCGCACGTGGAAACGCGCGAGACCCCGTGGCCGAGGAAGACGGCCATCCGTTCCTGGGGCAAATACGTGCCGTGGCCTGTGGTGCAGATCTTGTTGGCGGCAGGAGCGATCCTTCCGGGGGGGCATTTGCTTGGCGATCTTCCTTGGAGTTTAACTGGCCTTCCGAAGGAAAGGTTGGCTGACCTGGTTTGGGGTAAATCCTAACACTGGTTGGTCGGTTTTAAAGACTGCCACATCAATGGTGGTTTGAACCTTAGGGTGAATGTCCCTGTTAAAACATGTTAAAACCCTGAGCTTCTCGAATCGCATGGGCAAAGTAACATGAACCACACACCATACCAGTCCGTGTACAACAGACTTCTCTTCCAGGCGTCCAAGTGATGGATGTTTTCGGGATTGGATCCTGCAGAGGTCAGAGACCTGGTCGAACAGATACAGCCTTGAACATGGTCCATTCCTGTCCAGAGGATGCACAAAACCCAATGGTCGAACGCGAATCTGTGGAGGGTCGGAATCCTTGGCGGTTGCTGCCAAAGCAAGACAGGATGTATATATAGCATAGCCTCCCTGAAGGAAGAAATCCGACGCCTCGGAGGACCATTCCGAAAAACCAAACAGGTGGAGTTCCTCCACTGCCGCTCCGATGATGTTCTGCAGAGTAGGTGAGTCAGTCATCGCACACATGCGGGATACCCAGACATCAAAGCGACTGTCCATCGATGGAGCAAGACAAATCGCCTGCTCAGAATGAAGACCTTCACCCGCTCCACCAGCTAAGACCAATCACCTGCTCAGTCCACCTTTCCCTGGCATCTTCACCACGTCCACAGACCACCGATTCACCCCGTCAGACCGGTGGGTCCTAGAAGTTCACAGACTACTCAATTGCCACCAACGAAGAGTGGAAGTTCCCCTTTTTGGATCACCAAGTCAGACCGGTGTAGTACCAATGGTCGCCGCTCGGACTCTGGGTGAGAGCCGTGAAACCGACCCACCCACCGACCTCGCACCGTCGCAGGCATCGACTCTGCTTTGAAGCTGGCGACCACCGACGTCACGTCCGCTGGCTCAGAGCCGGAGAAACGGAGGGGTCCGAGGGAGGGTACGAGGGAGCCGAGAAAAGGACCGGAGGGAGGGAGTGAGTGGACCCACCTGCAGCAAAACCCTCTTTGAGCGGATCGGGGGTCAGCAGAGAGGCCGTGAGGCCGTGTTCTGTGTTTAAAGAAGAGCTGTCATTGAAAGGTCGACGTTTCGTGTGTGATAGCCCAATTGGTCTACCGAAAGACACCGTCAACGCCTGGTCAACGCCTTCTACTCTACCACACCTACGTTAGACAATCCGCTGCTTCGTGTGACGCTTTACTGTACACCCGGCTCATTACTTCAGCCGAGTTGAGCCTTCCAAGATCTGGAAAAGCTTCCATCTTCTTGGTCTTTCTGACATCGGCCGATTTCAGCCGCCTAAACCGTTCCCTTTTGTTCTGCCGCCCATGTTTGGTGAACCAAAAGCACGGACCTCCCCACGCAATCCCGACCTCCTCCCCTCAGCGCGGTGTCCCCGCCCGTCGACGGCTCGATGCCTCGGCTCCGAGGATGTTCTTCTCCGACATTGCTTCCTTCACGACGATCGTGGAGAAGCTCCCTCCGGTGGGACACGCGAATTCGGTGGCAGAGACACCGACCCGGACCTTCACGTTCGTCGCGAAGGGATCCCAAAAGGGACCCCCCGACTGAGGGACGTCGTGGTTCAGGGCGAAGACTGGAATCCAATAGAACTGGATCTTCTGGCGACGCAACATTTCTGCCAAAAGACCAGCCAAGGTTGGCATAAATGTTGCAGCAGTTGGAAGATCCCTAGGTAAACGGTATACTTCGGGAAGAGAGTCTTGTTCTTCTTACCTGGTCTTATATTATGCGGATCAGCCGCGGTCGAATTAAGAAGTCCATTTCGCGTGGCCAGTGTCTGACGGTCAATGATCAGCCTCTTTCAAACGATTCATAACACCTTTCACAGCTTTGGAGGGAGGACATTTTCTCAGTGTGAGGCGGCTTAAGGAAAGGGTTCTCAATTTAGAACCTTCAAGAAGAACCACTTTTGTCCTACTTGCAGTGGTGTATCAGCACTCAGGCCATCCCGCACGGGAAGCCAGGGTAGTACCACTGGTAGTTACCTGGTAGTACCCAGTTGTTCCAAGTGACCTTTTCATCCCCTGGTTTGAGATCACGTATACCAGGACCTGACTTCAGTTCGGTGGTTTTTGGACACTCTGAATCACCTCGAACGGAAGGTCCTGGTATGGGCCCAAAAGTTCGGTGGCTGGAGTAGCGCGCAGAGCGCGGAGAGAAGCGATGCATTCACCAGAGAAGCACGACTGGCCCAGCCTTGGATTTGCTGGAGCCGGAAAACTACTCATCTTCCGAAGGGGAATCATCCAAAGGCAAGAGAAACAGATCACCCTCAGCAAATCATTCGTTTCTTTCAGTCGTGTCATTCTCCGACTAGACGATGCGAATGCCTGCGCCCGAATGCCTGCGCCCGAATGCCTGCGCCCGAATGCCTGCGCCCGAAAGCGCACGAATGCCATCGCTCGATCCGTGGAAGACCTCGACCGGTGCCAGGAGCGCTCGCTGGTGCTCCTGAGCCGATACTTCAACGACATGTCGCAGGCGACCGGAAGGATCGTGCCGGCCGGTTTCGCGCCGGCCGGTTTCGCGCGCGCCCGAACCTTCGACGTCCGGGGAAGACCATGAAGAAAGATGGGATTGAGGTGGGTTTTTGTAGTGTAAAATCCTGTGTTGATTCGGAATACAGCCTATTAAATGGTGGGCCAGGAAGCCTAGGGTGCTCCCAGAGAGGGAAGTGCTTCTTTGAGAGCAAAATAACATGACAAATTGTCACATGCATGTATGAAGATAGTGTAGAACATGTATGGATATCATCATTGAAACACATACTGTATGCATTCTTCGATAGCATAGATACTGGACCCCTTAGATGCTCCATTTTTTCCATTTGATCGTTGACTTATGGTTGCGTTTGAGCCCTCGAAGTCCAAGATTTGACCAAGGAGTTTGCTTTACTTCGCCCAAAGAAGTAGTCGAACTGGACTTACTTCGGGGTCTAGACATCACGCACCTGTTCCCCCGGGGAAGGAAGAAAAGACATGGACGGAGCGAAGACATGGGCTGGGGATGTCTTTGATTTCAGTTTTTGGTTTGAGAGTCCCAAATGACCAAGTTTCCTCATTCTGACTCCTTATGGTGGTGGATTGTCACTTCCAGATGAAGTAAAATGAGTCAAGAGTGTCAAAACAGAAGTTCTGGGTCTTACGCGATCTGTTTCGACAACGACACCCTATAGACAGCTGCTTGATCGAGCTGATCTTACGCCATTTTCTCGGGCCGATCCATTTGTTTTGACGGTGGGACTGGCAGGTGATCGACAATCATGGAGGCATTGTCATTGATCCTCGGCGTCCACCAAAGGGCTGGATCGTTTCGCGTTTGGGATGTGGGTTGGGCTTCCAGGTGCAACATGGTCTCCTGGAAGTTGGTTTTCGCAACGGACGGTGGGCACCGTTCGAAGAGCAGCATTCTTCGCTGGGCTGGGTTTGATGGGTTTTGGTTTCTCGGGGGAGTGGGCGTGGTTTGCCGAACTGGGACTCTCCCCTTCTCGCGTGGTCCCGCGTTTGGGAAGGCTTGCTGGACTTCCCTTCCAAAGCGTCCGGCCAAGCGCTCCAACCGGGACCCACCGTGCGTCTTCGCGCCGGACCGGTCAGCGAGCGACAGGAGTTCATCGGTGATGCGATTCTCTCGGTCTTCGGGGCGCCGCTGCGCAACCCGATGCACGCAGACGTGCGGGTGCCTATTCTGGGCGTGTGGGTGCCAGGTGTGGAAGCCTTGCGCGGCGCAAACCGCCTCTCTTTTCCGTGGAATGGTTGAGGGGGGACGGTGGGTGACCAATGGAGACCGCCTTGTTTTCGGCTTCGGAAGCTTCGCCTTTCTGAGAAGCCGATTCTGATCGTTCTGGGCCTTTCAGTGGGTTTGGTGTCGGAGTTCTCTCGCCAGCGGTCATCACGCGGTGATGTACGGCGTGCTTGGGATCTGCGGATCGGAGTGAACGTCGGGCTTTGATGGGGTGAGGAGAGGAGACATTCAGCGGATGCTAATGGGGTGCTAATGGCGTGAAGCATATTTCCATGGTATTTCCATGGTATTTCCTGCAGTTCGGCGTTTGGAGCTGTTGACTCTATAGGTCTGACGTCGTGATCAAAGAGAGAGGTTAGTGCGGTTTTCAGTAGTTCGATCTACGAACTTGCTCCCTGAAAACCGGGGTTTTGAGGGTCCCGACCCCCTGAACCGGATCGTCCCATCGGGCCGTGCGCGTCGGTCCCTCACGTCGACGAGAGGTCCGGAGCCCCTGCTATGGAGGCTGCCATGGAAGGACCCAAGGTTGCCTTTTCTTTGTATAGGGTGAATGGAATTGTCCTTAGGCCTTCGAAGCCGACAGCTGGATAGGATGAAGCCTGGATGTGTACAGCAACGAACTACTAGTTGTTCATCTAGATCCCACATGAATCCATTGCTTTCGGCACTGACAACGTTTGAGCTTTGCCTGCGCTCACATTTCAGTCTCAACGGCGATCAAGCCACCCAATGTCGCAAGGATTTGTAGCTTGCAGACAGTGATCGACCCACGGAACTTCATGGAATTTCCACACCTTTTTCTTTTCTTCCGCACCAATCCCACGACGCATGAACCGGGGTACACCTTTTTTGACCGTCCTTCACACAGTTCGCTCCTAAGGCGTGTGTGCGTGCGACCTTGAAGATGCTGAAGGCGGGTTCCTTAGGGGTTCAGGTGCCGCTATCCCATGCGGTCGAAGAAGCATCGCTGCCTCGCATGCGCAGAAGAGCAACAGTGAGATGGCTCTATTTCGCTACCGTTTGGGTGGCTCCAATCTTCATAACCTTCCCTTCCCTTAGGAACTCCCACCCCCACCTCCGCTGCAAACCCGGGCCACTACCGGTCCACCGGTCCACGCGTCACGTGGACAATGGATGGAGTCGGAGTCGGCCTGCGCTGGAGGCGCTGGACCGCATCAACGCCTGGTCCAAGCATCGCTCGCTCCCACAGGCCGAACTACGCTGCGATGCGCGATGCGCGAGCGCGCCGCGCTCCGTGCCGGCGGGTGGAAGCGTCGTCCAAGCTTGCACCGTCCCGGCGAGCTTGGACTCAGGGCTGCCCCAAAACAAAGGGTCAAGGTTCCTTTAGCCAAGAGAAGTTCTACCAGGACCTTTGAAGGGGTGTCCTGGCTGGACTACCCCACACTACCTATAGGCTTCCAGACAGGGCACCCCGACAGGAGGGTCCTGGTGGAGGTTCCTTTCTGCGAGATCTTCCGAAGCCTGGAGAAACACCATCGCCACCCCCCGCGTCTCACAGAACGACCGCAAGTCGACGTCGTCGCTCGGGACGGTCGCTCGGGGCCGTCTCTCGTGGCCGTTGCTCCGAGGTGAACATCCGCTGTGGCGTTCACACCGGAGAGGAGCGGCACGAGCCGTGTGGCGTTCGTGCCACACGGCGGGGCGCGTCGGCGGGTTCTCAGGGGTCGTCCAACCTCAAGCGGCGGGTTCCGCCAAAAGGCCCAGAAGGAGACGGTGCGGAAGGTGTTCTTCTTTCGTATTTTTCAGGCTCCAAGAAGATGTTGTACTAAAGATCTTAATGAGAGAACGCAAAAAGCAGCAGCTTAGGTGTTTTGGGGGTGACACAAAAATCAAGGAAGATATTGTGACCTGTCTGTGCGTGATTCATGAGGTTTGACAGCTGACTTTTGCCTGTGCGTTTCTGTGCTTTGCGGCCAAGCAGCGAAACACAGAGACGGAGAAGCAGCTTGTTCCCTCCAACACGAAACGCCACCACCCTGCTTCTTTGTTTCAGGGAAGCGTTTTTCTTTTTAGTTACAATTTTTCCGAGAAAAGACAAAGGTCTAGATGTACTGCATCTACTTGACTTACACATATACAAGCATAAAATGTATAATATATCTTACTAGAATTTGTTTTTTTGTTGGAACATATATTGGAACATACAAGCCTTCCTTCACTTCATCCGGAGAGGTCTTGGTGGGCAACATGGGTTTCCATTCGCGCATCAAGTGCCCCAGACGCGATAATCTCGCGTGGAAAAGGCGTGAATTGCTGCTGTTCTGAGCTTGAATCCTTAGCTTAAATCCTTCATGATGGCTTGTACGTTCTTCTTTTTTCTACAAGAGATGCCAAGAGTCCTGAAGGTGTATATCATCTTATAGGTTGATAGAGCTTCAGTTCACCTTGGCTGAAAGACATGACCCTTTCAGAGCGTCCGAATGGACCCAATCCGACCCAAACCCCCCGTGCTTCTTCGAGGTACGGCACCATGGGGGAGAACGCCAACGTGCCCAGCAAGCTCGAGGAATTTAACAAGACGTGCCGCGCTTCCGCAGCGTTCCGCGGAGCTCGAAGCCCGCGGAACCCGCGGCTTCCCGGAGGGTGAGGTAGAAGTGTGGTCGCGGTATGGGGAGGTAGAGAGGTCGATGACCAGAGAGGTGGAGAGATTCGTTGAGAGGTGAGGAAGCAGAGATGCAAGACCTGGATCTTCCAACTGTGCAAGATGTTCTGCGGAACTTCATCTCAAAAACTCGCCAAGGTTGGCAGACAGTTTGCATAGTTGGAAGATCTAGGTATGCAATGTAAACTGTAAACATGATGTGATACAACATTTGACGACTCGTGGGGCTTGTGAGACTTCAAATCCGGAACGACCTCCGGATTCGTGGTCCGCCATGGATTTCATCATGCATTTAATAGCCTGAATCCTGAAGAACACATTTTAATCCTTAGCTTGGAGGCCATCACTAGTAGAAACAAATAAACAGGAAAGTAAAGGCAGACAGGTCTAAAGTTATAAACAACTTTCATTGGAAAGAGCCTGTTTTCTAAATTTAAAAAATCAAAAAAGTCAAAAAAAACAATCCCAAAAGTCAAAGTCAAAAAAAAGTCAAATCAGCAAGTTTCAGAAAGTCAAAAAAATCAATTTGCCCAGATCCGACCTTTTTTGACATTTTCTCGACATTTTGTTTTGACTTTTTTTTTGATGACTATTTTTTTTTCCGACTTTCTTTTTTTGACTTTTTTTTGACATTTTTTTTTTCGTTCTTTCTTTTAAACTTGTTTTTTCGTTTTTTTTTGGTTTTTTTTTTTCTTTTTTTTTTTTTGACTTTTTCGAGCTGTGGTCTATGGTTGACTTTTTTTGACTTTTATTTTTGGGACTTTTTTTTTGACTTTTCAATTTGATTTTTTTTTACTTTGACTTTTCCAGTTGACTTTTTTTTGGACTTTTTTTTAAATCACGGATTCTGGCCTTACCATATGAAAGTTTTTTATACGTCTAAAGGATTTTTTCCATTATTTTACCCGTGATAAAACCTGGTGGCCAGGTTTTCGCTGTGCTTTTCGCACTTGGCGCAATGAGATACGGCCAAGTCTCGTCCGACTCGCGCCGAGACGAGTAGCGTTAGGCCTGTCGACGCGTCGGGCTCGCGGTAGTGGAGAGTGAGTGGCGAGTGACAAGAGTGGCCACTGGTGAAGCTGGTGAAGCCGGTTTTGTGTCAAGTCCGGTCGTGATCCATTGATGTTGACTTGCCAGCAGCTGAAGCAGGTTCGGTCACGGAACTCTTCAGCCCACAATCCCATCCAGAGACCCGAGGGCCTGTTCGGTCATTTTGAAGAACCAGGTGAGGAAGGTCAAAAGCTTTGACATGATCTCTGGATTCTCCATGTGGGTGCCCCAGCCTTCAAAAGACCACTAGCAGACCTGGTTTTAGTGTAAAATCAGTAAAAAAATGGTTCTTTGGCATTCAGACCATTAAATCCATGGCTGTTCGAATGCTAAAGGGGGTGTATTAAAAATATAGAGACCTCCCACATCGACCTCGGCTGGAAGAAGGACCATCGGCCACGTCAGTTGGGGTGCACAGCGGTCTTTAAGTTCCAGAATTGCTGGGAAAATCCACAGGAACCCCATCGTTTCGGGGCTTCAAGGCAACCGTTTCCTGTAGATGGGTCCCTGACGCCCGTCCCGTGATACCTACTAGTAGCTCGCGAGCATCTCGCGATGTATACGGCAGCCATAACGAACCCAAGCGGCTCAGCTTCTGGCCATCCAAGTATTGCAGCTCCGAAGCCTCTGGGCCGTGCCTGAAAGGTACAGCACCTTCAACCTCATCTCCGAGGTCCGACCGCGGCGAACGAAGAGCTACGGCGGCGGTTCGGTGGTTGGTGGAGCGTTCGGTGCGGATGAGGATGCGGGTCGTGTTCTGCTCCACTTCTGTCTGAAGAGTCCATGGAGCACTGCGAACTGAAGGTACACCAAACCAACCCTGTTGCACACGATTTCTGACCAAAGCAAGGTGAGAACTTCTCCATTCTCACAGTATCACATTCTCAAGGTGTGTCCACACAGTGGGCATCTACCAAAACTCGCTGGAATGATCATGGTGTCCGTGGATGGCCTGACCCTTTGGACGACCATTTTCCTTTACAAATAGGTGGTGAACTCCACAGACCCATGATTCCGGTTTCATGTACACTTATACCGGTGAAGGCCCACAGACCCATTGCTTTGGCCGGTCTTCGCTTCGCACCCGACACTGCGTGGTCTCCACCGTTCGAACTGCGTTCGCCTGAGAGTCGGTCTCCACGGCTGCGCCGGGTCTCTGCATCTCACGGACGGTCCAGTGCGTGCGGGTGGGTGAAGGGGCGACCCCGGCGTCCGTGGTCTGGGGGGGTCCGTCGAGACGGTAGTGCCGACGGTGGCCGACTGGGAAGGTGGAAGGTGGAAGGAGCTGGAGGTGTTCGTCTCGGGGAGAGCCTGGTCGCAAGTGCTGAAGACACTCCCGGTCGCCCGTCGCGGAGACGTCTCCGGTTTTCAGGAGAAAGCTCGGATCGCGGAAGTCGATGGAAGTGAGGATGAAGCGGCTTGACACCCCCCCACCCACTGCATCATGCTGAATCTAGCTGGTTCTCGCTTCTAGGGAACCTCATTCCGGATCTGTTCCGCGCCAAAAAGGCCCGCTCTTGTGGGGGGTTTGGTTAGGTTTCATTGGGTTCAGATCTTTACACCCAAACTTCCCCACCTTCGAAGCTCGACCTTGACCTTAACCTCGCCTCGGTCTCCTCCTCGTCCGCAGGACACATATCTCAGCTTGCCACCGGAGACCTTCATCGTGAGGCTGGTGGACCCGTTCGACGCTTCTTCCATTGCCAGGAGGCTGAAAAAGGTGGCATGCCCAGGCCCATGAGAACCAACCTGGTGGATTTGTTTTGTTCTTTTTTTTCTGGGCGTGGCACTTGTTTCTAGTAGCTTCTTGCTACTACTAGTAAGGCACCTGTTACTACTAGCGTGGCACTTGTTACTACTTGTTCTGGGTGTTTTTTATTTTTATTTTGCCTCAGTGCACGGCTCCGGCAGAATTCGTTCGATGGGAGGCTTGTTTCAGCGCGCGGGCGTCTCGCACGATTTCTCCTTCTCAAACGGAGATCGGATATGATTGGTCTCCCAAGTACACGCACGTCTCGCACGATTCTTTCAACGTCTCAGCAAACAGCATCCCTTCCTGAAGCTTTCTCCACCTTTTCTCACATGTGGCCCAGACGGTCCATCGTTTGGTTAATTTTTTTTATCCAACCCCTTCTCGGGTCCTGGGGTGAGCAGAACACCAAATCCACCCAGAAACCCGTCCTGCTTAGGTTTGGGCACCCCGAGCGCCTAGACTCAGACCGAAACGACGTTAGCCCGAGCTGCGGCGTGGCCCGCCCGACGCGTGCGAGGCCCATCGATTGCATCTACCTCAGGACCGACGGGGACGCGCGTGGTCCGTTCGGACGCGCGTGGTCTGTTACGGTGGATGCTCGTGGTCCGGTGAGTGGTTTGGTGCTCAGCCGAGTGAAGGGCAGAGAGATTTTCCTCCAGGTCCCTAAGACCTAAGCAGCAAATCCAACAATGCTCTGGGTCAGTGAAGAGTTTGCGCCGCCTTCCTGATTCGTCTTGAACATGTGAAGGCCTGACTCTCCTTTTTGGTGGCTGGAACCGATGCCGAAGAGACATTCTTCTTTTCCCGACATATTTTCTCTCCAGGATGGGGAGGCAGGGTCCGAATGAACAGTCACCAGACCGACTGGATTGGGGTTTCCCACCACCCAATGCAGACACCGGACCACTGGACACGTCGAACGGCGAACGGAGGGAGCCAGCCAGGATTTCCTGGCTCTCCTTTCCAGCGCGGTGTTTGAAAAGCGCGGTGAGGAATAGCGACCCAGAGCCCACCACGGTGTACAACGTCTTGGGCTTTAACGAGAGCGCCGAGAAGATGGGCAAGACCGAGAGGCCGGGACCACATCGAAGCCGGTACCGGACCTTAGGGCATCGGTTATATTGGTTATATAATGGGCACCGTAGACACCTCTCAGGGGCCATTCGGCATCCCTGAGAAGGGGCCCATTTTTTCAATCATTCTTCTGAAGTGGACGACCTTGTTTTGGAGGCTCGCTGGTTTGAGTTCCTTTTGGGCTTCCATTTTGAGGCTATGCTTGGTGTAAGTTGGTTCCAACACCTGTTTTTCCATGCTGGACGACGCTCCATCATTCGGACCTCGAGTTCGAGTGTGAACTCGATGCTTTGGATCCTCCAAATCCCTCCAAATCCAAGTGGGGCCTGAGGAGCTGAAGACGGTGGAAGAAGGTGTTTTTCAGCCTCATGGACCCAGTCACCACCGTCGCTCGTGTCAGTCTGCAGCCACCAGGCCACATCTAGCCACGCTTGGTTTTCCTTTTTTGGACGTGTACCGAGGGGTATGACACTGACCGTCTCCTCCAAGAGTATGGCCACAAAATGAGCTAGCAATTCTGGGCGATGCCTTCTATACTTTTGAAGCTGCATACCCCAACAAACGATCCACCATGTTTCTACCATTTTCCACTTGGAATTAAACAAACATGAGTTCACTCTTCATATCTCCTTCACTTATAACTTCTTGGAAGCTATCTCTTCGGCGCAAGACAGTGTCTGATCCTCAGCTACCCTTGGTGGCATGAATTCGCCGAATTGGTGCTACACCCGTGAAGCTCGCCCGCGCACGGGCGTCAGGATTGAGAAGCGCCTTGGCATGCCAACGGGCTGGAGAAGCGCTTCTCGAAGCGTGGGCTGCTTTCGGGGTCGACCAGGTGGCATTGGGCAGGTTGTAGACCGAAGGTCCTGACATTTGCATCCGCGAAAAAGGTATGGGTCGACCAGGTGTTGGATTGCGCAGGGCTCCAGGTTTTTCCCTTTTAGCGAATGTAGAGACGCAGGTTCAGATCCAGAGGTTCATTTGAGCCAGCCGGAGTTCATCTAGCGGCCACATCTGGGTTCAACGGCCAATGTGAAGAATCCTGCCGTGAACCAATCTCCTTTCTCCAAGTTTTTGCAGTGCCCGTTGCTCCAGCCGCTTGGTACTGTTTCTGTGCCTTTCTCAGGCGAGACTCGGTATACGAGTCGGTGAGCGCCGACTAGACCGGTTTCACCGGTTTGGCCGCGCAACCTGGTCCGAGGATGTCACAGGTCTACCAGGATGCCTACAACAACTATCGGCGGCAAAGCTTCAAGAAGGCTCCTCTTTTCAGACCCATCCATGGGACCGGGGGTCCATGGATGGACGGCCGGTCCGCATTCGCATTCGCAGGACTTCGCCACGCTGACTCACCCAGGGGGATTCACCCAGGTTGACCAGATGGTTTGTGGGGGGTGGCTGATAAGGCCGAAGATCAGCGGGTTTTGTCACGGTGTTTGATGCTGTCCTGGTGCTTATGAAGCTCAGACCATGAGTGGTGCTCTGACCCTTATCACTGCTGAAACGATGAGCACTGTCTAAGTCGAACGTTCATGCATCTGCCAGGGAGGCAATCCGGAGGGACTTCTGTGTGGATGAACATGCCGTGCATACCAAGCTCTTGGACTTCCGAACTCTCCGAACTCTTCAATTTCGATGGACGTTTCTCTCGAGCAGCCAGTCCTCGTCCTCCTTCCTCCTTCCTCACTGCAGCCTTCCTGTCGCGCCCGAACGTGCGCCTTCAGTATGCCTCGAGAGGCGGCGAGTTGCAGCGCTTGCCAGGCCAGCGATCTGTTCCAGAAGTATGTCAGAATGTCGAAGAAGATGGGCCCCCAGGCGTCGCAGATGGGCGCGACGACGACGGGGGCGAATTCGGGGGCGAATTCGGGGGCGATGGGGTGCGGAACGCTCGGAGGTTTGGGGGTTCTTCTGTTCGCCCGCAAGGTCCCTCCGTTACCCTCACACATCACATGGTTACGTGGATGGCATGGCCTTTGGCAAGAAGATATTCCTCTACAAACAGGATCGGCCCCTTATCGTTTGGGCGTGGTGCTGGACACCACGGGGTGTTTCAAGTCACAGTGATGGGCACCGGTTCCCGGTGGGTTTGCGGGGGGGGACAGAGACCGAACCAGGGTGTCCTGAATTTAAGGCACGAAGAGAGCGATCTAGATATTGATCTCGATGTTTTGCATGTCGACGGCGACATCTTCCAGAAGTTGAGGTGACCGTTAGGCCTACTGCTTGTAATCCGATCGATTCAGCGGCTTCTGCCCAACTGACCCCCGTTTCGTGGATCTTTTTGGTATGTCGTCCCCGCCTCACGTGCGGAGAACAAACCCTGCGAGCACCGAACCTGCTTGCTTCCTGTGTAACAGGACTCGGCAGCCCAGCTGATGCAGAAGCGTGGCTTGCTCGGGCGGAAGGGGACGGTTCCTGCGGCTCCGTGAAATCCAACACGCCCGCAACTGACAACCCAACGACTGAAGTGACTGAAGAAAGGTTTTCTGTTGGAGTCGAAGATCAACTAAAGACCTACGATTTTTTGGAAGAGACGAAGAAGATCCAGTCTGGTTTCGGACCACTCTGCCTGGAAACGAACGAGAACGAACTCGGCGCTGAAGCTTCCACCCGTTTGGACCCCAGAGTTCAGGCCCGTCCACGGAACCGTTCGAGTTCAGGGAGTGTACCTCAAATAACTCGGACTTCGAACAGGTGACTCTTGATTAAGAACTCCCCCCAATTCAACCTCTTCATAAGGGGGGCTTTATCAAGAGTCTACCTTAGTTCAGATGCTTTGGTTCCAGAGATGCTGCAGACCTCGGGCGCACTCCGGAAGAGGAATTGGCGGTTCCAGAAAGCCAGGCGCATAGACTACCACGGCCGCCGACCCTTGGAGGGCTCGGGTTGTTTTATACATGAAGTTAGGCAGACATGAAATGCAATTGAGATCGTGCGGTATGACATATGACGATGGGAGCTATGTGCGTACGGCCCTGCAGTTTTGTGGAGTCCATTGCAGCAGATTGACCCTTGGAAGTCTAGAGAAATTGAAACAACATCTTCATATGGGGTGGTTTTGATTTTTTTCCCTGTAAATTAACATGGAACCCACCAAAACCACTGGCTCGGTTTGCGGAACCCACCGTTTTCTCTCTATTTTTCCACCTCATTCTCGGGGTCTCAATCCCGTTGCCTTTGTTCAGACCTGGTCCTTGGGATGTCAGCTGCCTTTTGGTGTTTGAAAAGACAGCCTTTTCTGTACAGAAAAGGCAGCTTGCAAAAACGGATTTTGGTGTTGGATCAGGCGTCCAAAACTGGCGTTTGGTGTTTGCAAAAACTCATGAAAGACGGAAGGTGATTCTTTGAGGAGGGTGTCTGGCGGCTGATCCCCCGCCGAATCAGATCCCCCCCGATTCCACAGAACCTTCGCCATGCAAAGTGGGGGGTCGACTTGTGCAGCTGGTTGGACATCCTTCAGGCTAAGAGTTGGTCAGAATTTGAGGCTAAGAGTCCTTCTGCGATTCTCCAGGTTGCAAGTTCTACCTGGAGAATCCGCCTTCGCGGGAATGGGACGGTGTCTGGGATCAGGCGCCGGCTCAAACCAAACCCAAACGGTGCTCGAGACCTGTGTGGTTTTGGGCAGTGAACACGCTCCTTTTCTACGGATATTCTGATTCTCCAAGCCCACACACCTGTGGGTTGCTATCATCAAAATCATGCAAGATCGGTGTTTCTTTCCCAGAAAGCTGAAAGCTATAGCTAGAGGTTCTTACTTCCCAATGACTGGACGGCTGATTGGCGTTGTCCACTACTCTCAGTGCTACCTTGTCTCCCCACTTGTCTCCTTGCATGTCTGCCTACTGTCTCTTTTTGAATTGTCTCCCCACTTGTCTGCCAGTGTTGATCTGCTTTTTGCCTGCCGCTGCTGCCTTGCCTCGTTACTTTTGTCTTCCCACTTGTCTTCCCCTTGCCGCTGAGGCTGATGCATTGTCTCCTCACTTGCCCTCCCACAGTTCTCCCCACTTCTCCGGATTTTTCAGCGAACTACTCGAACTTTGCCTCTGGTGCTTCTGTCTGAAAAGAGTTAGTCAGTTGCTATCTGGGGTCAATGTCGGTCTCACTGAAAGGGAGGTTCACATCCCCTTCCTCCGCACCAGCCCTGCAACTGGCTTCGCCCGCTCACAAAGAGCCGACTCATGCAGTTGGGGCTGTGAGGTGACTGAAAGGATGCTTCAGAATGCTTGGGGGTCCCCGACTTTAAGCAAACAAACCATGCAGGTTTTGAAGATGCCGCCTTTCACCTGTCACTGCGTTTCATCAACAAGAGGATGCTCTTCTTGACAGGTGAAGAGACGTATGTCTGTGTGTGTAACCCTCGGAATCAGAAGGAGGCCTTTGGCTGTTCTTTCACTTTTTCTTTTGTGGTGCCAGGGACTGTGCAAGTCTGGCACTAACAAAGACGCTCACACTGATCAGTGATATCAGCTCGGGACGCCGAGTTGACGTACCTGCGAGAAGATCGTTGGCGCATCCACTTCTAAGGGCCATTTCTGAAGTTTCAGGCCGACGTTCTCTGTGCTATCAAGTATTGCAGTAACTAGAACTGAATCTGGGTCCTTGAGCCTTTGCACTTGAAGCTGGTGGGACACCTTTGCAGTCGTTTTACCCAGGAACTTTTTCAGTCCTTTTCACCTAGGTGTTGGGGCGAGTGGCATTCAGACCGTACGTACTTTATACCGAGTGTGTCTCAATCTTGCGAAAACGCTGGTAGTGCCCTGCGTGGCCCAGGTGAGTTGGAGGTGAAATTTCCACAGCAGGCCAAAGTGGCCGTAGGAGTCGTCATTGACAAAGGTGACTTGCGACTAGATGACTGGGTAGAGGAGCAGGCCTTATCCGTAGCGGACTAGAGCAGACTTCCCGGCTGATGGCAGCTGCGCTTCGCATGACACTCCTCACATGGACGCTGATCACAACCACAACACAATCCATCCAGCGTCTTCGCTCCCTGAGGCCAAGCTGTCACCAACACTTGGCATTCGACAACAACTATAGGGATCCCTCGTGCCGCGCATGTTTGGGAAGAATGGACTTAGCAGGTCGACAGTTTGATGACAAGAAGCAGTTCTGGTTCTATCGCAGCTGGCAGCACCAATGCTCTAGGCTCGCCCATGACCCCACCCTCAACAACTTCAATGGGCCGAAGCAATGGTGCCGTGATCAACATCTAGCATTGCGAGCATGGACTTGCGGCTGGCAATTTTTTCTGCTTCCTGCCGCCCAGAGTGGCCTTTGGTTGACCAACTTGATGAACATCAACGGGAACAAGAAGCCCTTCAACGTTCACCCCGTGGTCGAGGACAGAAATGGCTTTCTTCCAATACTGATGCTTTGTCCCAGTGCTGGGATTCCATCTTCTTCAATGTCGTACATCAGCTGTTCCAGATGGACTTGAGGGACCCGCGCTATATGCGACTATGCTCAGAATGTGCCATGGCTGATGCCTTGTCCAATCAAATCTTCTCGACACTGCAGAGGAACAAACCATGTCGGCTTCATCCTTTTCTTGAGCCTACAGAGTCGAGCTGCCGCATCAGTGATGAGTCCCTCTGCTTTTGAGAGTTGACACCTTGCACCTTGAAGCTGCTCCACCGGTAACATTTTTCATCCGCAGCTTTGTTGATCCCCCACCTGGTTCAAGCTCGTTCCCGCTGTTGCCCCATTTCCCCGCAACCATGAATGCTGCCTCTTCCTGTGACGCGTTTAACGGAACCAACCTACCGACTTTACCAACCTACCGACTTTGGGCTTCTTGTGGATGTGCTGAAATCAATGTTCTTGCACTTCGACCTGGCCTGGATCTCAGTCTTCTTGTCCGGCGGCCTCTCATCAAGGATGTGATCTAATTACCCGGTAGAATCTACCTTCGATTGGGCGTTTGGCGCTCCAACTTCTGGATGCAACTTACCCGCCATGGCAACCCCACCATTCTGGGAGCGGACTATTGCCCTACATTACATCAACTCCCGGCAGACCACCCCGTTGTGATGAATATCGCCGCTGGACACCTAAACTTGTGGACTGAGACTTCGACCGCTCATCCTACACGGTGGTCTTGTGACTCGGGTGCGCATGTCGCTGGCAGCCTATCCTTTTCCCGTTTCACATGCTTCTACGCAGAGGGGTCTTTTGGCTGTTCTTTCAGTTCTGTGTCCTTTTTTCTGTTTTGTTTTTACAGCAGGGGGTGCTAGCGCCGAGTTGACGCACCTGCCAGAAGATCGTTGGCGCGCCCACTTCTGAGGGCCATTTCTCAGGTTTCAGGTCGACGTCCTTTGTGTTAAGACTAGACGACGGTTGGCCCGAGAGCGAAAAAGGTGATTGTCAAGCAATTCCGAGTAAGGAAATAGTTAAAATCGAGTTGTCCAAGAGCCATGACTTCTCTATACAATCTGTTATTGAGTAAGAAGTTGCGAAGAAATTAGATTTAACATATTAAGAGAAAAGATATGTAGAAAGAGAGAAAGAGAGGGCAGATGTGAAGGAGTGACAGTGTGGATGTGCGGGTGTGATTTAGATGTGCAGATGTGTGGGTGTGTGGAGGTAGAGAGGTAGATCTGCGGATGTGAGTGTGTGAAGATGTAAATGTACAGAGGTGAGGGTGTGTAGACGTAGATGCGCAGATGAAAGAAACGTAGCTCGTCAACTCGGAGAAGCGTCTCCCGAAACGGACAGTCCCACCCGTCAGAAGACTTTTGGTCAACCGAACTGGACATGATCAAGTATCATCGCTCTTTAACATACAAAGGAAGCAACAAAGGTCTTCGATGCCACAAGGGTCAGACTGCCGGAGGCCAATGCGGCGGGCGCAATCCTATGTTTGTGTAGCGAATTGTGTAAAAGTCACCCAAAAAAAGCTTGGTACCAACATGCCGTGAACAACGCGTATGATCTCATTCTTGTACGGAAATTTACATGAAAGTCTCCAAAAAAAGCTTGGTACCAAAATGCCTAGGCAGAGACCATGCATTTTTATGTGAACATGTCCATATATTTTAACAAAAAAGCTCGGTGCCACGGTTTTTGTAAATAACATCTAACACTCTCTCAAGCCGAACATCGTCGCCAGAGCTTGCAAAAGAAGCTCGGCGCCAACATGCCGTGAACAACGCGTATGATCTCATTCCCATACGAAAACTACCGTGTAGGTCTGCAAAAGAAGCTCCGTACCAAAATGCCCGGAAAAGCAAACACCAAGACCATTTCATACTGTATGAACATATCCACATATATATATATATTCATACAAAAGCTCGGTACCGCAATGCTTCTGTAAATGACATCCAACATTCTCTCAAGCTGACATGCCGTCAAGAAGGTATATGATCACAATGTTGTATGAACAGTTTCCAACCACCATTGTGTCATGAAAAACAGATATGCTCCAAAATCTTTTCAGACCATCAATAACGCCTATGATCTCATTGCTTTATGGAAATGTCTTGCCTTGCAGCGCTGACTCCAAGTAAGGCTCCGACCACAACGGCGACGTCATCGCTCGAAGCAGCTCCATGTCCAAACTCTTCAACTGCTTCACAGAACCCCCTCGAATTTGCAATCTTTTGATACATGCACAAACAACAACGCTGTCACTACCGCCCAGTCCACAACAAAGGGAGAATACAGGCTTCCAAAACGTTGGTGCGCGTAACCTTCCCAGCATACAAAAAATGCAATCTCACCTGCATTTCGCACCCTCGACACGCACGATCTCCGCAGAGCATTGCAAGGGACAAATCCAAAACGCGATCTCACCTTTATTTCGTTCCCTCGACGCGGGCGATCTCCGCAGAGGGTTTCGCGGGAAAAATCCGAAACGCAATCTCACCTGCATTTCGCGCCCTCGACACGCACGAGCTCCGCAGAGGGTTGCGCGGGACAAATCCAAAACGCGATCTCACCGGCATTTCGCGCCCTCGACATGCATGATCTCTGCAGAGGGTTGCACGGGACAAATCCAAAACGCGATCTCACCTGCATTT